TTTTGTAAAAGTCAATTTCAAAATCTTAACAACCAAAAAAGAGCATAGTTCAAATTCGCTGGAAGCTTTTATTTAAAAAAGAAAAGAAAAAAAAGATATTACACCTGAGACTACGAACACAGAAAAATGCCAAGAGCCCACTATGAACTTCTGAAATTAATAAACAAATTCAGAGCCCTAGCCAGGTGGCTCGGTCAGTGAAAGAGTGGTCCCAATACCTGAGGTTGTAGGTTTGATCTCCCTTCAGGACACATGCAGAGGGGCAGTCAATGAATGCATAGATCAGTGGAACAGCAGGTCAATGTTTCCCTATTTCTGTCTATCTCTGTCTTCCTTCCTTTCTCTAAAATTAATAAAAAGTTTAAAGAAAAAATAAATTTGGAAAGGTTACATGATGTAAAAATCAACACATAAACATCAGTTTCATTTCTACACATTGATAATAAATTCTTTGATAGAGAAATGAAGAAAGTAGTTAATTTTGCAATAGAATTGCCCTAACTGGTTTGGCTCAGTGGATAGAGCGTCGGCCTGCGGACTGAAAGGTCCCAGGTTCGATTCCAGTCAAGGGCATGTACCTTGGTTGCGGGCACATCCCCAGTAGGAGGTGTGCATGAAGCAGCTGATCGGTGTTTCTCTCTCATCGATGTTTCTAACTCTCTATCCCTCTTTCTTCCTCTCTGTAAAAAATCAAAAAAAAAAAAAAAGTTTGCAATAGAATTAATAATATAATAATCGGGAATAAATTCCACCAAAATGGTGAAAGGTCTGTACATCAAACACAAGACAGTGATGAAAAAATGGAAGAAAACACAAACAAATGGAAAGACATCTGTGCTTTAGGATTTGAAATGTAATATCCTTATAATATCTATCCTACCCAAAGCAATTTACATATTAAATGTAATCCCGATAATAATTCCAATGGTATTTTACAAAGAAATGAAAACAGAATCTTGAAATGTATGGAACCAAAACACCTGGAAGAGCAAAAGCAAACTTGAGCAAGAACTAACCTGGTGGCATCAAACTTCCTGACTTCAATCTATTACAAAGCCAAAGCAACCAGTGTGTTACTGCAATAAACACAGAAACACAGACCAATAGAACAGAACAGGAGACCGAAATAAACCCAGACACATACAATCAAGTATCCTTTGACAAAAACCACAAGATACACAAGAAAGAAAAGATAGTTTCTTCAATGAATAGTGCTGGTAAAAATGCATATTCACAGGCAAAACAACAAAACTGGACACCACTGATAAAAATGAACTCAAACTGAATCAAATAATTAAATGACAATCCCAAAACTTAAAAATACTCAAGACAAGTTAGAGAAAAAGCTATGGACGTTAGCTTTGGACATGATTTTCTGGATGTGACACCAACCACCAGGCAAAAAGGCAAAACTAAACTGTCTGGACAACAACAAATGAAAAGGGGTCTTCACATCACAACAGCAATTAACAAAATGAAATTAAAAGGCAGTCTACAGGATGGGAGAAAATACTTGCAAATCATATGAACGTACTGCTTGGAGATATTGTGGATTCAGTTCAGATATCCACAATAAAGCGAATATCGAGATACAGAGAAAGTTACAAAAATATTTGGAGTTTCTATCTATACTAATAAAAGGGTAATATGCTAATTAGACTGGGTTGACGGGACATCTTTCAGGCATCTGATTTCCTTTCGGACAAAGCCATGGTGGCTGGGGCCGAGGCAGAGGCGGTTAGGGGCAACCAGGCCAGTAGGGGAGCAGTTAGGCCGGCAGGGGAGCAGTTAGGGGGCAGCCAGGCTGGCAAGGGTCAGTTAGCAGACAACCAGGCCAGCAGAAGGGCAGTCAGGAGATGACCAGACTGGCAGTGGGCAGTTAGGGAGTGGCCGGGCCAGCAGGGCTCAGTTAAGGGGCGGCCAGGCTGGCAGGGGTCAGTTAGGGAATGACCAGGCAGGCAGGGACCAGTTAGGGGGCAATTAGGCAGACTGGCAGTGGGCAGTTAGGGAGTGGCCGGGCCAGCAGGGCTCAGTTAAGGGGCGGCCAGGCTGGCAGGGGTCAGTTAGGGAATGACCAGGCAGGCAGGGACCAGTTAGGGGGCAATTAGGCCGGCAAGCAGTGGCAGTTAGGGGTGATCAGGCAGGCAGATAGAGTGTTTAAGGACGATCAGGCCGGCCGGCAGGGGGACAGTGAGGGGGCAGCCAGGCCAGCACGGAGGCAGTTAGGGGGCGGCCAGGCCAGCAGGGGGGCAGTTAGGGGACGACAAGGCTGGCAGAGGACCAGTTAGGGGGCGATTAGGCCAGCAAGCAGATGCAGTTAGGGGCAATCAGGCAGGCAGGTAGAATGGTTACGGGCGATCAGGCAGGCTGGCAGGGGGGCAGTTAGGGGGCGACCAGGTGGCAGGGGGGAGCAGTAAGGGAGCAACAAGCCTGGCAGGGGTCAGTTAAGGGGTGGCTAGGCGAGGAAAAGCATAGTTAGGGGGCAGCCAAGCCAGGCAAGGGACAGTTAGGGGGTGACCAGGCCGGCAGGGGGGCAGTTAGGAGGTAACCAGACCAGCAGTGGGCAGTTAGGAGGCGACCAGGCACGAAGCAGTCAGGGGTGGCAGGGGGGCAGTGAACAGGTGACCAGGCGGTGGGGGGCAGTTAGAGGCAATGAGGTCGGTAAGCAGAGGCAATTAGGGGCAATCAGTCAGGCCAGCAGGGGAGCAGTTAAGAGTGATCACGCCGGCAAGCAGAGGTGGTTAAGGGCGATCAGGCAGGCAGGCAGTCAGGCAAGCGGTTAGGAGCCAGCGGTCCTGGATTGTGAGAGGGATGTCCAACTGCCAGTTTAGAGCCCATCCCTGCAGGTCCCCCGAGGGGTCCCTGATTGGAGAGGTTTCAGGCCGGGCTGAGGGACCCCCGCTCACCACCACAGTACACAAATTTCATGCACCGGGCCTCTAGTCTATAAATACAAAAGCCTAAGTGACTATTACAACTGAATGACCTGAACCACTGGACTGAACAGTCGACCAGTCGCTGTGACGTGTACTGACCACCAGGGGGCATAAGCTCAACACAGGACCTGCCCCATGGTGGTCAGTGTGCTCCCACAGTAAAACTCCCTGGCCATGTGGCTCAGTGGATAGAGTGTCAGCCTGTGGACACCCCCCTGCTGGCATGGTCGATCCCTAACTGCTCCCCTGCCAGCCTGCCTAATCTCCCCTAACCACTTTACCTGCCTGCCTGATCACCCCCTAACTGTGGGTCCCGGGTTCAATTCCAGCACATGCCTGGGTTGCGGGCTCGATTCCCAGTGAGGGGCATGCGGGAGGTGGACGATCAGTAATTCCCTCTCATCATTGATGTTTCTACCTCTCTCTCCCTCTCCCTTCCTCTCTAAAATCAATAAAAACATATTTTTTAAAAAAACACAAAAAACTCCCTCGGCCAGCAAACCCCTGCAGTCCCTCCCCTGACCGGCCATCAGCTGATTGGGGGGACCCCACCCGAGCACGAATTCGTGTACCAGGCCTCTAATTAAATAATAAAGATATGTTTACACTGTACTGCAGGCTAATAAAAACAGAAATACTGTGTGAAAAATACTTTATCAGTACAGAGTGACAAGCTCAGGGAAATTCAGAGACCTAAAGTGACCACAAAGGAAGTTTTGAAATTAAAACTTTCTAACTAAAAGCAGTTAATGACAGGTAGACATGTCCTCAGCTGGAATATTCAACGACAAAAGTCAATCCTTACCTTAACTGAGCCTGTCTATCATCTTCTGCATCTATGATAACATCCCTTTGGAAAGTCAGAAGAGTAACATCCCTTTTTTGGGATTCTTCAGGGCACAACCAACTGCACCACAGCAAAGACTACAAATACTCTCATTGCTAATTTCCATCATATTAATATTGATTATTAGCTATCCTGTCCCCAACTATGTAAAAGATTTATCATTTTACTTTTTATCCAATTCCAGAAGTAGCCCCGCTTTGCTCTCTTCTGCCTCCTTAATCTATCACCAATGAATTTCATGTAACCCAGCTATGCCTGCTCTTTTGATTGTAATGTATCAAATAAGGTGCAAAACTACCATTCTCTGGAGCATTATATCAATGCATTGAGATTTTGCTTCCTAGCAACTGTTGAAAGTTCGGACCAAATAAACTCACAAAAATTATTTACAGGTTTGAATACATCTCACACTGGTAAACAGCATCTGAGCTTACTGGAAAAATGGCCACACTAAACCTCCTAAATGCAGGATTGCCAAAAACGTTAAATTTGTAAAACCAGAAATCCTACACAGCCTGGCTCTGGTGGTTCAGAGGACTGAGTGTCGTCCCACGGACCAAGATGTCCCAGGTTCGATTCCCAGGCAGGGCAAATGCCTGGGTTGCTGGCTCCATCCCCAGTAGAGGGTGTGCAGGAGGCAGCCAATCAATGATTTTCTCAAATTACTGGTGTTTCTCTCTCTCTCTCTCTCTCTCCCTCTCCCATCTTCTCTGAAATCAATAAGAATATATTCAAAACAGAACAAAACAAAAAACCCTCAAAATACCTGCAAAGCACAACCAAGCACATGCAAAGAGACAAGTCAGTAGCTGTATGTAATAAAAAATTAATATATAAAATATAGAAGTTATTCAACGGAAACATTAGCCAAAAAAATATGGTTAAAAAACAGGCTAAGGATATAGAGGCAATTTCCCCCAAAATATGTACAGCTGACCAACAGGAATATAAAGAATGCTTTTCCTCACTACTCCAGGTGGAATCCATTAGGCTCCCTGCCACAATACCAACCACAAATCCCTGCCTAGGAGTTCAGTACAGGAGGTGTTGGGATTGCAGAAAAATTAAAGGCCAAAGCAAACAAACCAGACCTACCAAGATCAGCAAGGGCCCCAAAAACTGAAAGTCAAGCAGTGAGGACAGAGCACATTCTGGGAAAAGGAGCATGAGGATATGTTAAGCCAAGTGCAGTTCACTGGTGAGAGTGAGGGTCTTACCCAGGGAGGATACAAGTTCAAAGTTCTCCAGCATCACATTCAGGTACAGCTGCCTCTGATCCTCATCAAGGAGGCTCCATTCCTCCCTGGAGAAGTACAGGGCAATGTCCTCAAAGGTCACGCCAACCTGTCAGAATGGAGACAAATGATTATTCAGAATTTTTTTTTTTTTTTGCATGTTCGTTGTAATTCCAGTTTGGTCCTGGGAGTGTGTCTGTGTAGCATCACTTACTCTGCAGCCATTTTTAAACTCCTAAAATTGAGAATACTGAAACCAAAGCTGTCTTTCTGACAACCTGCACTCTTACTCCTTACACATCTTCCCCGCCCTCAACCTTCTTCAGGGCTCCCCAGTTTAGTGTGGACACCAGGCCCTAAGGCCAGTGCAGGCTGCTCTCTCATCACAGGCTCATTAGTCACTGTTACTGCCCTCAGCCAGAGCAGAGGGTTTGGGGCCTGGGAGTGCATGCATCTCAGCTCTGGGCCTTGCCTGCAGGAACCCAGCCTTCCTGCCAAGCAACACCACCCCAGTCTCCCAGACCAAGCCTCCCAGACAAAGCCGAACCCGGGCTTATGCTTCACCCTTAAGTCTCCACACCAGGTCCCGGGGACCATCAGCTCACACTTCCTCCAGATGTGCACACCGCTGGGTAATGTCTACCTCCTTCATATCTTCAGATCCCAGGTTCATTCCCTCAGCTCTGCCCCCTTCCTGCTCCAATGCCACTGGATCTCGCTGGACTCACCCATGAACTTGGCATATGGCGTGTAGAGAGCTTGTAGTCCAGCCGGATCCAGGACCACCCCAGGCCCCTGATGGACCCCAAGTCACCCCCGTCCTCTCTGCCCTGCACTTGCTGTGTCCTCAGAAGCCACAACACTCCTCTCTCCCCTCCACCTTCCTCACGGTCCTCCACGCGGGACTGAGCTGCAGGACGGGACAGGCGCCCGCACCCGGGCTGTCCTGCTCGGTGGGAGGACGCGGTGGGGGCCCGGGGGACGCGCACTCACCTCAGCCCCGCGCCCCCGGGCGGGCGCCGCCATCGGACTTTGTGTGCGGAGCCGGGCGGGAGCGGCGGGAGCAGAGGCCGCGGCGGGAAGGGCGGTCCCTTTCCGGGCCCTGGAGCGGGTCACCCGGGCGGGGACACCGCATTTCGTACCCGCGCGTGTGCTGTGAGCGCCACGACTCCCGCGCCTTCTCCCTCGGGCCATCTCCACCAGGACCCAGCGATCTGCAGCCTCCAAAGGTGCAGCAGAGCCGGTCTGGGAAGAGCCAACAGGCCCGCTGCGGGGATGCCGGAAGTCCCGCCCCTTGGAATTCAGCTTCGCTGGAAAGACCTTCAATTGGCTAAGCTGTTGGTATTCCACACATGGTGTTCTGGGTAATGTAGTCATTGAGTCCAAGTAAGTGATCAGCGTTTTTTTTTTTTTTACTTTTTCTTGTTTTTTCCCCTCATCACTCCTGTAGAAAACACGGAGATCGCCACTGGAGGGGCTATGAAATGTCACGTCCTCATGAAAGAGACATCTTGAAAATGGCTACAGAAAGCTGTCATCTCTTCCTGGTGAAGGGACTTAAGTCCATGTTGGTGAAGAGAGATTATCTGTCCTGGCCATTGTCACTGAATGGTTTAGCTTGGACTAAACCACTAGGAGGTCATGGTTTAATTAGCTGTCGGGGACATGCCCATTTCAGGCTGATCCCCAGTAGGGGGCGTGCAGGAGTCAGGGGATCAATGATTCTCTCCCATCATTGATGTTTCTCTGTCTCTCCCTTCTCCTTTCCTCTCTCTGAAATCAATTTTTAAAAAATATATATTTCATTGATTTTTTACAGAGAGGAAGGGAGAAGGATAAAGAATTAGAAACATCGATGAGACAGATGAAATCAATTTTTTAAAAATATATTTTATTTATTTTTTACAGAGAGGAAGGGAGAGGGATAGAGAGCTAGAAACATCGATGAGAGAGAAACTGATCAGCTGCCTCCTGCACACCCCCTCCTGAGGATGTGCCCACAACCAAGGTATCGAACCTGGGACCCTTCAGTCCGCAGGCCGACGCTCTATCCACTGAGCCAAACTGGCTAGGGCTGAAATCAATTTTTAAAAAAAATATATTTTATTGATTTTTTACAGAGCGGAAGGGAGAGGGATAGTTAGAAACATCGATGAGAGAGAAGCATCGATCAGCTGCCTCCTGCACATCTCCCACTGGGGATGTGCCTGCAACCAAGGTACATGCCCTTGACCGGAATCGAACCCGGGATCTTTCAGTCCGCAGGCCGACGATCTATCCACTGAGCCAAACCGGTTTCGGCTGATATCAATTTTTTAAAAACCTTATTTAAAAGCATGCACACATTATCTGTGATCCAAATATAGCAGTCATAATTAAAGAGACATGCCTGCATTAAAGAGTCTGAAAAATTTTATCACATAGATGACCTACTTACACCATAGTATATGTATTTGACAAATATAACACAAGAATGTAGGCCCAGCCTTTGAAATAGAAAAGATGCAACTCTCTTGTTTCATTATAATGTTAACGTCAATTAAAACAAATAAACTTTGGAAAAAGTGGGAGAGTTTGTGAACACAAAGGGCCACATATTAAACCTGACAGGCTCCGTGGAGGCCTGAGTGGCAGCCCTACCAACTCAGAGACCTAAGGTGACCACACAGGAGGGTCAGAAATGAAAACTTTCTAACTAAAAGCAATTCATAGGGATAGTCACATCTTTGAGTAGTATTTTTCCCTAACAAACTTCAATCTTTATCTTAACTGGGCCTATCTCTAACCTATTTACATCTTGGATAATGAACCTGATAACTTGCTTTTGGAATAACAAATCATTTCCTCCCACCTCCCCCCATCTCCTCAAAGCACAATCACTGCAATAGTTTCCCCCATTGTTATCATGTTAATTGCTGACTGTTAACTATCCTGTGCCTGCTAGGGCAGTGATGGCGAACCTTTTGAGCTCGGCGTGTCAGCATTTTGAAAAACCCTAACTTAACTCTGGTGCCGTGTCACATATAGAATTTTTTTTGATATTTGCAACCATAGTAAAAAGATTTATATTTTTGATATTTATTTTATATATTTAAATGCCATTTAACAAAGAAAAATCAACCAAAAAAGTGAGTTCGCCATCACTGTGCTAGGGGCAAAAACATAATATTGGGGACTAGCTATGGTTACAGGAAATATTAATCATCCCGTGTTAACTGAGATTGCCTCTTTCTGGTTACAGAAAGGACTTTCTAGCCTTGCTAGGAGTTTTACACACCCTGGGCCTGGGAGTCTTTCTAGCCTGGCTGGGAGTTAGAAAGAGGTCCATTCCCATGAGTCATTCTTGGACCTGGGAGTCCCACTTAGAAAGTGGTCCATTCCCATTCAAGAACTGCCTATTATCATGGAAAGATTAACAACCTTGTTGCCCAAACAATGGGGTCGCACCGGACCCCGCATTGCCTACTTCACCATGCTTGTACTCTCTACTTATATTATCTTGTTTTTGAAAAAATATATTTTTATTGATTTCAGAGAGGAAGGTATTGATTTTAGAGGGAGAAAGAAACGTCAATGATGAGAGAGAATCATCGATTGCTGCCCCCTGCACACCCCACACTGGGGATCCGGTAATTCCCTCATGTGTGCCCTGAGAGGAAATTGAATCCTGAGCCATGCCTGCCAGGCATCCTTATGTGACCTTTGTCCTACCCCATGTAAGCAGCTGGCATATGTGGGTGGCAGAGCAGATTTTTGTGGATGACCTGCTGCCCTCCTATATTGCCAGCAGTATTGGCATAAATATTCATGTATGTTTCAACCCTGTTTCTGCTTAATAGGCTCAAATAGTGATAGGCTGACCAGACCAATTGGTTTTCCAGTTTCATACCCACCTATGGAAAAGAAGCATGTGTATCATTTTAATTTTTGCCCAATCCTAGAGGTCACTCCTCCCTTGCTTTCTACCGCCTCCCTAATCTACCAACCATGTATTTCACGTAACCCAGTTATGCCTCCACTTTTGGTTACAATGTTTAAAATAAGTGCAAAATTGCCATTTTCCAGAGCATTTTACCATACCATTAGTATTTATCTTTCCGGCAACTGTCATCAGTTGGATCAAATAATTTCCAAAAAAATTCTTACATGTTTGGAAGTTTGTTACATTGACAAATTGAATTCTGACCAAGTTATTGGTGTGGTTTTTTTATGTGAAAATGCTATTATAATTACCATACTAACAGAGAATTTGCCCTTTACAGACATATTTAAGATGTAAGGTGAGCCCTAACCGGTTTGGGTCAGTGGATAGAGTGTCGGCCTGCGGACTCAAGGGTCCCAGGTTTGATTCCAGTCAAGGGCATGTACCTTGGTTGTAGGCACATCCCCAGTGGGAAGTGTGCAGGAGGCAGCTGATCGATGTTTCTCTCTCATGGATGTTTCTAACTCTCTATCCCTTTCCCTTCCTCTCTGTAAAAAACCAATAAAATATATTTTTTAAAAAAGATGTAAGGTGAGATGATGTTTTAGACATTCTCAATGTCATGACATATTGATATTTAGAGTAAATAAAGTACATATTCATAATGAAAGCTGACCTGTGTATAGCTCAGAAACTTGTTAAAATCACGAGATATTATAAATAACAAGTAATTATGTGTATGCATATGTGCAATAAATATTGAAACTCAAAAATTCTGTAAGAAGCTTTTTCTACGTAAAATATCAGAGCAAAAAAAAAATTTTTTTTCCAGAGCAAATATCAGTGAAATATGTTAGCGTT